ATATATATATATATATATATATACACACACACATATATACACACGATATAATTTCTCATTGAGAATAAAAATCTATTATGTAACGGCAAATGATTTTTGAATACATCTGAAACCTGAAATTAATGTTTATAAATTTATTTTTCTCTAATGCAGCATGCAATTGTCATGGGAAAGCTGAAGAATGCTATTATGATGAAAATGTTGCCAGAAGAAATCTGAGTTTAAATATACATGGAAAGTACATTGGAGGGGGTGTGTGCGTGAATTGTACCCAAAATACTGCTGGTATAAACTGTGAGACATGCATTGATGGCTTCTTCAGACCCAAAGGGGTAAAGCATACTTTTTCTTTCATGAAGTGTTATTTCTGGCTTTTTCATACAGAGGTGTATCATACAGAAAAATAATTTTGAAAACTTCTTTGAACAGTTAGACTGCAAGTTCTAAGAGGTGACTAGGAATGTGTCAAAAGGGAAACCATGATATAAAACATTTCCATCTTTCTGGAAAGTTCCATTGTACCCCATTCCAGTCAATCCTCACTCCTTGGCAAACTCTGTTTTGATTTTTAAAACATAACTGAGTTTTGCCTCGTAGTGAATTTCATAATTTGAAATAAACTACATACTGTTTTGTGTTCCTTCTTTCCCTCAGTATAACATTTAAAGACTTATCTGTAGTGTGTGTGCATCGATAGTTCTTTTTTAGAAAAAAATCACTGACTCTGATGAGTATTTTTTTGCATGAATGTACTGCAATTTTTAATCCATTCCGTTTGTGGCTGTTAGTGTCATTTTCAGTTTTTGGCTAGCCCCTACAAAACGCTGCTTAAAGGAAATAAAACCTATTCACAGAAAGACATATTCTATGTAAGTCTTTTTGGGTCCTGTTTGATTTACCTTGCTTGCATAAACATTTAGGACTAGAATACTTGCTTTAGAGGATATTTTTATGTTTGATTTTGTAAGAAACTGCTAACATTTTACCAAATTAGTAACAGTATTTTACATGGTCACCAAAAATGTCTGTGAGCTCTAGTTATTCTATATCATCTCTAATATTTGGTGTTGACTATCTTTATGAAGTAGCTATTCTAGTGGACACAGTGAGTGTGGCAAGTAGGTATTTGGCAATCACTAAATCATTCCCATTGATACTTTGTGCTACCACAGATCTTCTCTTATGAATTTACAGCAGATCCTATTTTGTATTTAATTTTCAGATTAAGTGCTTATTGGCTATTCCTAGATTTTCTGTTACGAAGTATTCTTTTAAGCCAAGATATGTTTGTTTTTGTTTTTGTTTTTTAATTCTAGAAACTTTACAATTTTAGCTTTTAGATCTATGGCCCATCTCAAGCAAATATTTGAGTGTGACATAAAATAATGATTGGGATCTACATGGTTAAACTGTTGTTTCAGAACCTTTATTTTTTTAAAAAAAATTTTTTAACGTTTATTTATTTTTGAGACAGAGAGAGACAGAGCATGAACGGGGGAGGGGCAGAGAGAGAGGGAGACACAGAATCTGAAACAGGCCCCAGGCTCTGAGCTGTCAGCCCAGAGCCCCACGCGGGGCTCGAACTCACGGACCGTGAGATCGTGACCTGAGCTGAAGTCGGATGCTTAACCAACTGCGCCACCCAGGCGCCCCTCAGAACCTTTATTTTTAAACTTCTTTTTCTCCTTTAAATTGCTTTGAGACATTTGTTGCAAATCATGTGGTTTGATCATGTGAATAAATTACTGTGGGTCAGTTTCTAGAGCTCTAGTTCTGTCTCATGGATTTATATGTCCATCCTGGTGTTAATAGCACACTATCTCAATTACTTTAGCTTTAATGAATCTAGAAATCAGAAATGTACATACACCAACTTTATTCTTCCTTTTGAGGATTGTTTTGGACATAATAGTTTTTATATATTCCCGTAAAATGTTTTCCCCATACAATTTTAGAATGAACCTGTCAATACAGAAATGTTAGGTGGGATTGTTGTATAGAATGTAAATACAAATATGGAAGAACTAACAGTAACAATATTGAGTCTTGTAATCAATGAATATAGTATATCTTTTGACTTGTTAAAATGTTTTAAAATTATTCACAGCAGTGTTTACAGTATAGAGAACTTGGATGTATTTTGTTAAATCTCAGTATATTTATGTATTATTATAAAAATAATTATAAAATTATTGAATGTTATTAGCAAGATTTTCAAATATTGGTTTATATCCTATATCTAAGTTTCCTTTGTTAGTCTGGTAGTTTAAACCAGATTATTTAAAAGTATACACATAAACAATCATGTTTATGTATATAAATCTCTTCCTTCTTTTGCAATCTTTATGTCAGTGTGTGTATTGTGTCTTTAATTCTCTGAATTCAAGGCATTTTCTTTATATTCGCATTTTAGTAGTTAGTTCATGTATTGGCAAACTGTGGACCCTAGATTAAATTTGGCCCATGGCCAATTTTTCCATGTCCTACAAGCAAAGAATGTTTTTTACATTTAAAATGTTTGTTAGGGGGTGACTGGGTGGCTCAGTAGGTTAAGGATCTGGCTCTTAATTTCAGCTCAGGTCATGATCTCAAGGGGCGTGAGTTTGAGCCCCATGTTAGTCTCTACACTGACAGTAGAGAACCTGCTTAGGATTCTCTCTTTCCCTCTCTCTCTGCCCCTCCCCTGTTCGCACACACTCACTCTCTCAAATAAATAAACATTTTTATAAAATAAATGTTTGTTAAAAGAAGGGGAAGGTGGGGTGAAAAAGGGAAGAGAAGGAGAAGGAAAGAAGGGTTTTTGAAAAAGGAGAAGATGAAAAAGAACAAGATTAAGAAAAAGAATAACAAGAATAAGATGTGTAAGAATAGAAGGAAGAAGGGAGAAGGAGGAGGCAGAGAAGGAGAATGAAAAGAAACAGAGACCTCCTATTTGAGCTCTACTATCTCTTTTCCTTTTGAAACTCCAACTACAATACACATCAGGTTCCCTGACTGTGTCCCATATGTTACTGAGGCTGTGCTAATGAAACAAACAAACAATTCCTTTCTTCATCCTTCAGATTGAATAATTTCTATTTATTTGTACTACTTTACCCCCTGACGTCACTAATCTATTGTTATGTAAACCTGGTTAATTTTTCATTGAGATATTTTACTTCTCCGCTTTCTTATTTTTTTATAGTTTCCATTTCTCTGCTGAAATATTCCATGCTTCACTTATTTATAAACATTATTTCCTTTATGTTCTTGGCCATATATACAGTACCTATATAAGTCCTTCCAAACTAATTTCAATACCTCACAGTCTGCTTTTATTGACTGCTTTTTTTCTTGAAAAAACTTTCTTCTTTCTTCTCTTTCTTCTTATGTCTAGGGATTTATGATTTGTACAAGACATTTTGGATGATACAATGTAGACACATGATTCTATTATCTTCCTCTGAAGATTTCTGAATTTGGTTCTAATTGGTAGTAAACACACTGACTGATTGCTAAGAAATTGTAGAGACTTACTTTTACACCGTGAAATGGCAGATGAACCAAAAGCTCAAGGTGGTTATCTAATCTTCCTAACCTGGTTGACAACTCCAATGTCTGTTTCCTTTATGGTATGCAGACCTAAAAACTCATGCACATCATTGAGCTTTCCAGCAGTTACTTTCCACTGGACTTGTTGGAGTCTCTTGAATGGATGTATGATTAAGGGATCACTTAAGCCTTTGAGGAGTGTTGTTGGAGTCTCCTGAATGGATGTATAAGTAAGGGATCACTTAAGCCTTTGAGGAATGTTGGTATGCAGATTTTGCTCCCCATCTCTGAGCATAGATCTCAGCTAATATGTTTTTTTTTTTCTTTCAAACCTCAAATTCTTCCAAGTTCTGCCTGCTTTTGATTAATTTCCCAGGACCTCAAATATTTTACTTTTACATTTTGTCTGGAATTAATATTTGTTATCTGAGAATACATTGGACCACACAAGACAGTCTGACGTTATCCACTGTGGAAACTTCAAGGTTTTTGTTTTTGTTTTTGTTTTTTTAATATGAAATATAATTTATTGTCAAATTGGTTTCCATACAACACCCAGTGCTCATCCCAGCAGATGTCCTCCTTGATGCCCATCACCCATTTTCCCCTCTCCCCCAGCTTCAAGTTTTTATTACAAGTCAGTTAAGTGAATCTGAGCCTAGATTATGGTATTTTAATACTTATAAAAATACTTATGCTACTGCATATGTTAAAAAATTCCATTCTCTAAAAAGCCTAATATTTGGGTAGAAGTCTATTTGTCTTTTATAAAGATATAGGACACAGGTTTTTGTTTTTTTTTTTTTTTTTTTTTTTTTTTTTTTTTTTGCATGGGTTTTACAGCTAAATACCATCTCTACAATTTTTTAAAAGTGATTGTCCTAAAATCTCATTTAAAGTTTATTTACTAAATACACATATTTAATAGTTAAATATAATGTAATGTTTACTTTGATAACTAATTAGTAATCTGAATTATTACTTTAATTAAATTAAAAATCACGTGTAAAGTAGATATATTTACAGAATCTCATATGTTGGTAGGATTCCTTGTCAGCAATCTGATTCAGGCAGATTTCTCCAATTACCACAAAGAGGGATAATAAATTAGGAGTCTTTTATTTACTCAAGTTCATCATTAAAATCATAAACCACATTTATAACAGCCAAGATCTTATTCAAAAGAAATTTTTTGTCCACAGAGGGTTTTTGTTTTTGTTTTATATTTTGTTTTCATGTCTTAGTGTTTTGTTTTGTTTTGTTTTCCTTGGGAAAAAGCCCTTCTCCCAAGTCTACTCTAGAATTTCTACTCATACTTCAAGCTTCAGTCTAAATGTCACTTCTGTGAAACGTTGTTGACTTCTTTGTGTTATCGCTCCCTCCTCTTTTGTACCACAATGCTCAGTATGTCTATTTTATCACTTGGCAGCTTGTATTTAATCAGTGTCTTCCAAGCCTGTTATTCTTGTAAGCTTGTTTAAGACAAAGACCTGGTCTTACCTATCTGTGCTTTGCATAGTGCTTACTTCATAATGGGGAATAAATAAATGTGTCCTAAATGATTGATATTTTATCCGGCATGTAAATAACTCTCTAGTTATGACACTTTGATTTATATTAGTAAACAAGTTTACATTTATAAATGAAGCATAGATATATACATATGTAAATGCTATATTTTATGGGTGAAATATATACACCTATATGAATAGACCTATAATATATATAGTGAGACACATATACACAGAGCGCATGTGCCAGTATTTCAGTATATATACCATAGGCAAATAATTGTTATTTTATTCTTTATCCTATTGCATCTGGAGAATAAATGCTGTAATTAGAGCATATTATCACAGTCTAGGTTTGTTTAATTAAAATATTTTAGCATTAAAACTAGTTGTATTGAATATTTAACATAGCTGAGGAATCTTATGAGATCCTTTATATGTTATTCTTTTTAATTTTAGTTTAATAACATCACTATAGTTGCTATTGTTATCCTCCTATCACAAGAAGCAAATAAGTTGCAAGAGGCCACATAGCCGGTAGAGCCACACTGAGATATGAACTCACATTTCTCAATTGTGGAGGAAAAGAAATTGTTTCCCTTGTGGCTATGCTGCCTCTCCGGGAAACCAAATGTTTAATTTGATTACTTAATATTGTCCTTTTTGTCAGCACCAAATATACATTTCTATTTAATCATATCATGATCAACATGATAAAATTTCCTAAAAAATAAATTTGGGGTGAAATTACTAATTATGAAGTATGTTGTAAGAAAAAAACCCACAAGAAAAAACCCAGAACAAACAAACAAAAAAATCTATCAGAAGGATTTTATTGCAGAATGTATATTAGAGACCATCAGGCAAATACTGTTATTTTTGTTTGTTATAATAATGATACTGGGATTGCGAAAGAGATGCAGACTGAAATCTAGGGGAATTAAAAGACTATCTGCAATTTTCTTTAAAAACTTCAGCAAAGAATGAAAACGAACTCCTATGGCAAAATCTTGATAATTGCTGAATTTAGGATATGGATGTTTATTGTACTTCTTTTTACTTTCGTGTATCCATTTAGAAAAAAGGGATTTTAAAAATTGCAAACATATATTAAAGATAATATGTTATTTTCTCAATATAATTTATTACTATGTATTATTACATTTATTTTGTCCTTAAAATTTGCTGAATTGAAAATTATTGGTGTTTTTATTACACATGATTAAGAGGCTTTTAATATTCTTCTTAGGTGTCTCCTAATTATCCACGACCATGCCAGCCATGCCATTGTGATCCAATTGGTTCCTTAAATGAAGTCTGTGTGAAGGATGAAAAACATGCTCGGCGAGGTGAGATAGATCTCAGAGGGCCATTTTGATAAAAGTGCAACCATAAGCCAGATATGATAATTTTTAGGGTAACATTTTGCAGTAAATTTTATGTGCTTAATAATTTTGTTCTTGGGGCACTTAGGTGGCTCAGTTGGTTAAGTGTCTGACTCTTGATTTCATTTCAGCTCAGGTCATGATCTCATTGTTTGTGAGTTCAAGCCTGTGTTGGGCTCTGCGCTGATAGCATGGAGCCTTCTTGGGATTCTCTGTTTCCCTCTTTCTCTGACGCACCCCCACTCGCAATCTCTCTTTCTCTCTCTCTTTCTCAAAAATAAATAAACATTTAAAAAGTAATAATAATAATTTTATTCTCGTATCTATCAGTGTTCTCTCCAGGAAAAAATTTTTTTTAATTTATCTCAATCATTCTTTTCCTGTAAACTAATTATAATTAATTATAATGCTTTAAAAGAAAAAAGTTGAATAATTTATTTTGCATTATATACATATATATGCATTCATATATACATATTTACATGTCTAGGCATATATATCTTCTGGTCAATCAGAAATCTGTGATATATGTAATTTTTAAATGTTGTTTATTGAATTGGTCTGTAGTTTCCATGGTTTTTAGCGTGAAATGACAGCATTTGCTGAGGGATGTGTGTGCAGCAATGGGAGGAGAGAACAGACAGCACATCCTGAGATGTAGTCAATAGTATAGAAAGCAAAGCTAAAAATAGGCAGTAGTCATGAGTTAAAGAAGGGAAAGAGGCTGACCCGAATTTAAGCCAAATGCTTTCGTTGAGGATTGAAATTCATGATGAACTCCAAACACTGAAGAATCAAATGTCAAAATAAGTCCTTAATGTGAAATGTTTAGGAGCTATTTCCAAGAGAGTTGTTTGCCAAAGTTTAGTAGAACATTAGGAAATATCTGAAACACTTTCTTTATATTCTTAAGGATGGATTCTTCTCTTCCTAGGAAAGACTAAAATAAATTATGGCTACAATATAGGTCCCCCCTCCGCTGCCGACATTGGGTTTCAAGTTCAAAGATTGGCAATGTTTCTTTGGCACAGTTTAGATTACCTGCTCTCTTTATAAAACTGTAGGATTATCAGTGTAAGCCCTACAATCTTAAAAGATTAAAATACTGATTATTTAAAATCTCAAATGGTGAGCTATTGAGGTCATTTTTCATTTTATGGCCCCTTATCTTTTTGTAGTAACAACTAAATTATGTTATTTTCAGTAATATCATTTAGCTTTTTTCTATACTTTTTAAAGAAGTATATTATTTGTGGAGAAGTGATAAAAATAGAAAAGTAGAAAAATAAGCGTATAATACAGTGGTAATTCATCATAAATACTCTTATGAAAATGTTTGTGTTAACTTCACATAATGAGTTTTTCCCCAAACCACTGAGGATTTCTCTGAAATCTGGGTTAAGCACTCGAATAGTACATCATTATCTTGATAACCATAATTTATTTACCCACTCAACTTTACATAGATATTAAGATTGTTTCTAATTTTGTTTATTGTAACCAATGCTTCAGTGAAGATTTTTGTGTATAAATATTTTTCAATTAGGGGTGCCTGGGTGGCTTAGTCAGTTAAGCGTCTGACTCTTGATTTCCACTCTCATCATGATTTCACAGTTTGTGAGTTTGAGCCCTTCATCAGGCTCTGTGCTGATGGCTCAGAGCCTGTTTGGGATTCTCTCTTTCCTCCTTTCTCTCTGTCCCTCCCCTACTTGCACTTTCTCCCTGTCTCTCTCGCAAAAATAAACATTAAACAAAATTTTTTTCAATTATTATGAAAGCAATACATAGTAAAAATGAGATTTTGATGATAGGGAAGAGAATAAAATAAATAGCAATAGCATCCTCTTCAATTTATTCATCCCCCATCTTGTTTACAAATTTAATCACACTGAGACATTTCTTCTACTAAGTTCTTCTGGAAGAACTTATCTTACAAACAATATCTAAATAATATTCTTAGCATTTTCATCACCATTAAACACTGCCTATTGACTCTCCATCTTAAAAGACAAATGTTTTGGGGCACCTGGTTGACTCAGTTAAACGTCCGACTTCAGCTCAGGTCATGATCTCATGGTTTGTGAAATTGAGCCCCTCATCGGGCTCTGTGCTGACAGCTCAGAGACTGGAGCCTGCTTCACATTCTGTGTCTCCCTCTCTCTCAGTCCCTTCCCCACTCTCACTCTGTCTTTCTTCCTCTCAAAAATAAATAAACATTACAATTTTTTTTAATTAAAAGAAAAGACAAATATTTCATTTATGCCACCTCCTTCCTTCTCTCCAGTATTCAGACATTTTTAATTATGTATTTCATCTTTGGTATCTTTATCATATTACATAAAAGCTTAAATCACTATTTCATGATCCATTAAATTTAAACTAATCTATTTGTTAGCTGTTATTATGTTTTTTTATGGTTATCTTTGCTAGATTTTGATACCAAGTTTTTACTAGCTTCATAGACTAAATTATATAGCTTTCCACATTTTTAAACTTTGAAAACACTCTGTAAAAACTAACTGGTACCATAACTTTTTGTGGTAATTCTTTGATCATTTGTCCTCTTTTGATATATTTAATTATCTTTAAGGTACTCTTTTTGCCTTATTTTCTTTTTCTTTATTTTTCAAATCTTCCTTCTTTCCTATAGTGGTCATATTGTTTTTTTCTTTTTTTATTATTACATGAATTAAATTTTAATTTGTGTATATTATTTTTCTAAGAATTTAAGTATGTAAGCTTAAAAGTTTACTTTAAGCAACTGTTTTTTCTATATCCCATAAACATTGTTAAATTTCCTTCTCACAGCTGTTATATTCTATTTAGAAAATTATTTAGTCTGCAATTGAAGTCTTGATTTTCTCTTTTACCCAAGAGATATAAGGAGAAATATTTATTTATTAACTTTTAGAGTGATTGAATTTTGTTTAAGATTCTATTAACATGTTGATGTTTAGAATTAATGTAATACTAATTTATTATGACATATGTTATGAAAGTAGAAGTATTAATTTATGTTAAGAAAACAAGACTGATAATTTCTGCTTTGGGAAATTGAAACTTTCTATAGATTAGTTAATGATAAGCTACAATAGGTATTTATAACCATATAATGTGTAATTCAACAATAGATTATTCACATTTTTCTATGTCTTTTTTTTTTTTTCTAATCCATCTGCAAATATTTGAAGTGGGTAGGTTAATATTCTTAGCCACTGATTTTTGGCCAGTTTCTATTTGAGCCCCCAAATCTTCTGTTGTCTATATATTTTTGTACTTAAAATCAGTGCTTCTATGGTGTATAAATATAACTTAATGTGTTTTTTTTTTTAATTTTTGTTTTTTCAACGTTTATTTATTTTTTTTTGGGACAGAGAGAGACAGAGCATGAACGGGGGAGGGGCAGAGAGAGAGGGAGACACAGAATCGGAAACAGGCTCCAGGCTCTGAGCCATCAGCCCAGAGCCCGACGCGGGGCTCGAACTCACGGACCAGGAGATCGTGACCTGGCTGAAGTCGGACGCTTAACCGACTGCGCCACCCAGGCGCCCCTAACTTAATGTGTTTTTTATTGCATCTTCATCAGTGTAAAATGAGAGCTTGTCCTAATGAATCTATTTTAATTGGATTCTACTTTGGCCATTACTAATACTACAACTGTTTTTACATTTCTGTATGTTTTCCTAATGTAGATTAACATTCTTTCACTTTTAATATTTCTTATCATTTTATGTATCTCTTCTGAACATTACACACACATAGTTTTTATTTTAATTTTTTAACGTTTTTATTTTATTATTTTTGGGAGACACAGAGAGACAGAGCATGAGCAGGGGAGGGGCTGAGAGAGAAGGAGATACAGAATGTAAAGCAGGCTCCAGGCTCTGAGACATGAGCACAGAGCCCAATGAGGGATTTAAACTCACAAACCGTGAGATCGTGACCTGAGCCGACATCGGCCACTTAACCAACAGAGCCATACAGGCGCCCCCATACACATAGTTTTAATAGCAGCAGTAAGACCGTGAAATTTACACATGGTTGGCGTGTGGGTCTGACAGTCTTTCTGTCCTTCTGTGTCCTTTCACATTGTAACATTTCTTTGCTTGTTTTTCCCCTCCTTTCCTTTTTTGAGTGGGCTGTATTTTACTGATTTGCTCTTATATTTTTCCAGATTCTGAAAGTAAGAAACTTGTATTTACTCATCTGTATTTTTCTATTTTCTAATCAAAGACAAGAATAAAAATTGTCTCCTGCATTTCTCTGTTTAAAAAGAAAAAGTAAATTTAAACTGCTTTCATGTCCCTCCTTCCTTACCCTCAAAATGTCTATTCACATGAACCCTCAGTCTTTTTGTTGTTGTTATACTCAGTGATGTCATACTTAGATTATTGTTTTTTTTTTTATTTTTGGTTTAAGTATATTTTTGCTCCCCAGACAGTTTCCATCTCATGGTAGTCTGAGTTATGAACCAACAGGTATCACAAGTCACTGCTTATTCTTCATCGAGTATCCTCAGTCAGTTATGGAAATTAGTCCTTGATCATTGTGACAGTTTTTCTGTGACATTGGTTTTGGTAGATGCTTTGAGATTTTATCTTTTTTTATTATTATTATTCTTACCATCTTCAATGATACCCCAAAGTGCTGTGTTAGCGAATTGTAGCCAGCTTCTAAGTGAGCCTTATGCCTTTTGATTTTCTCTTTTCTTTACTGATATACATCAGTTTTCTAACGTTTGTGTCAAAATAGAATCTAAACGTTACTATAATTAAAACCTCAGGAACAAGATTATGTATTTGTTTTTGAAGTGTTCGTATGTGCCTTATCTTCCCTTAGGTCTGGCACCTGGGTCTTGTCCTTGCAAACCTGGCTTCAGAGGCGTGAGTTGTGATCGATGTGCCAGGGGCTACACTGGCTACCCAGACTGCAAACCCTGTAACTGCAGTGGCGCAGGGAGCGCAAATGAGGACCCTTGTTTTGGACCCTGTAACTGCAAGGTGCGTCATACATTCTGGTAATGTCCACTGTCAAGACAGAAGGTCACTTTCCTTTGTTTCTCTGTTCTTCTGTGTCTGTTGGCATTAAGCAAATTGTAACAACTTCTCCTGTAAACCTCCACTACTTTATATTTGGCACTCGTGTGTCTTTACAACCAGGTTCACTGCTGCAAGGCACCTCCCATTTGTCTAAAAACCTACAAACACATGAAGGCCAGGTCACCTTAAGAATAGGTGACATTTTATAGCTAAACCACTTTTCTCCCATTACCCATCTAGTCTGTTGACTTAAAAATAGACAGCACAACAAATAGCAAACCTGAAAAACTACTGTACATTCAAATATACCATAGCTTTGTATTTAATTTTGAAAATAATTCGTCCAAGGTTGTATTCCAGACTTTTGAGTAATCTTCTGAAGTTTAAACCCAGATTGTCAGCAAATACCATATTCAAATTCTTCTGTTTTATTAGCAAAAATGTAAGAAGCCATAGTGGAATTGATTAAAGCCTCAGTATTTCCTCCCAAGAGTACTTTCAGAAATATGACTTTATTTGTTGTACATACCCCCAGCCTAATAGCTCATCATGTTAATGCCAAGGGATACATTACAGCTACAGCTTATACACATAGAGGAAATGGAGACATGCACAAGTCTAAAATGATAGAATTGATTTCCTTTAGCTATAGCAATCAGTTCCAAAACACTGGAATTAAACAATGTTATCTACATTAGTTTAGAGAATGAAAAATCCATTGAAAACGTTAGAATGTCATACTGATATAAAAATGAATGTTACTCATTTTTTTTTGTTGTTCTCAATCATGGTTGGAACCTTATGAAGAATTTTTATTCATTCATTAGTCTTACCTAGGAAGCTATAAATTATATGCTTACATTTGTTGTATGTGTGCACGTGCATGCAAACATTAAAGTATAACACAAGGGGTGCCTGGTTGGCTCAGCTGGTTAAGCATGTAACTTCGGTTCAGGTGATGATCTCACAGTTCATGGGTTTGAGCTCCACATTGGGCTCTGTGCTGACAGCTCGGAGCCTGGAGCCTGCTTCAGATTCTTTGTCTGCCTCTCTCTGTCCCTCTCCCGCTCGCACTCTGTCTCTTTCTCTCTCTCTCTTAAAAATAAACAAAAACATTAAAAAAAATGTAAAGTATAACACAAGAAGTAAATATTAGTATTAATGTGACATGCATATTTATTGGGACAATAATGTTTGAAATAGCAAGCTAAATATTATAATAGTTGCATAATTGGTATACATCATCGGTAATTTAGGTGCCTTTCTTGACTACTTAGTAAAACTCCTGCCTGTGTAAATTGGTAGGAAGTCCATAATCTATGGTAAAAGTTGTCTTGTACTGGAACATACTAAATTTTCTAGATATAGTACATTTTATTCCAGTATTATTTGAAATGACAAATTAGTATAGACCAATACCATGTAGCAGTCCGTCAGCGATCCCTTGTTTAAGGATACCTCCCTTTTCATCCTGTGTGTCTTTATGGGCAAACCTAAGGGCTTAGTTCATTTTCTCTAACATTTACCAAAATGAAGCATGTGTGAATTTTATTTCTTTCACAAAACTCCACAAAGATCTCTAATTTTTATCACTTGTTCAAATGCAGGACAGCAAAGCTGAGTTTAAAATGGGAGTGAAACCTCCTGAGTCTCTAGGATATAGGAAATCAAACTGGAAAAAGAGAAAGGGAATGCTTTCATACACCCACCCTGCATACACACACCATAGATGCCTGGTGTTTGCAAGGAGAAAGTAACGAGTGAGTGAGGGATGCAGAACTCCAGAGAGCCCCCGGAGCTGCTGCGGGACCTCTGCCTGCCCTCGGCCTGCCTGTCTTGTAGAGCGATTACAATCCTGGTTAAGAAAAATGCCTCCTACAGAGACACTGGAAGCTTTACACAGACATTAAAATACAACAACAGGAGCACCTGGGTGGCTCAGTCTGTTAATTGTCCTGACTTTGACTCAAGTCACAAACTCACAGTTTTTGAGTTCAAGCTCCTCATTGGGCTCTCTGCTGTCAGCTCAGAGCCCGCTGCAGATCCTCTGTCTCCCTAACTCTCTCTCTCCACCCCTCTCTACCCTCCCCTGTCCTCTCTATCTCTCTCTCTCAAAAAAAAAAACCATTAAAAAAAACAACTACTGGGGCGCCTGGGTGGCTCAGTCGGTTAAGCGGCCGACTTCGGCTCAGGTCTTGATCTCGCGGTATGGGATTTCGAGCCCCACGTTGGGCTCTGTGCTGACAGCTCAGAGCCTGGAGCCTGTTTCAGATTCTGTGTCTCCCTCTCTCTGACCCTGTTCATGCTCTGTCTCTCCCTGTCTCAAAAATAAATAAAACGTTAAAAAAGAAATTAAAAAAAAAAAACCCCAACCACTATATATAGCAATTAAGAAAACATAAGCGAATGAACAATTAAGTGAATAGCATCATTACACGAGTTGCCTTTCAACTGTGTGGTACTTCAAATGGATGATTATAAGCTCTTATAAACTAAATTTTTTAGGGTAAAAACTTGCAAAAAACAGGTTTTAATAGATATCTACATAATTAAAAAAATCACTAATTATATGCATATAGAAAATGAATCATATCATAATATGTATGCATGTAATGTGCTATAATTAATTACCTATAGCCCCTTGTTTATAAAAATAATACATACCCAGTGTTCCAATAAGATACACATATAATTTAAATACTGAACAGATATTTATTAATGTAGAAGGAAATGTGGTAGCTCGTTCTGTTTTACATAAAAATGATTTGATGTAGGTGTGTCAGTTGATTAAAACAACATGGATCGATCAAAGTGGCATTTAACAAATAGTACTTTATTGAGCAGCTAAGATACTGGAGACTTAAATTCAAATAGAATTAGAATGAGATCTATGCAAGGGCTCATTTCCAAAATGCATATTAACCAGTAAACATATGCACATTTATTCCGTGACACTATTACATGTAATAGTTTTTCATAATTTTTATTAGGAAAAAGTATCATACTTAATGAAATACGTAGATCTTTTAAGAAAGCACTTTGTTATAAGGTCTTAAGTCTAAATATATTTCTATTATAACTTTTAAAACTTCTATTTTTTAAGTTTATTTATTTATTTTTGAGAGAGACAGAGAGAGTGAGTGGGGGAGGGGCAGAGAGAAAAGGACAGAGAGAATCCCAAGCAGGCTCTGCACTGTCAGCACAGAGCCAGACACGGGGCTTGATCTCACAAGTGTGAGATCATGACCTGAATCTTAATAGAGAGTCAGATGCTTACCTGACTAAGCCACCCAGGCTCCCCTATTTCTATTATAACTTTGAAATAGTTAGCACTCTGGTAAAATATCATACTGAGAAAAATGGGCACCACTTCTGGCACTTTCAATATAAGGATGCTGGATGAAACAAAGAAAATAAATTTGTAATCATGTTGATTCAGGAAAGAGAGGGAAAGCCCTCGGTGTTAGGAATTCTAAGTTAAAGGGAAGGAAATCTCCCCCTTTAAAGGGAAATCTAAGTTAAGCATAAACCCAAGCAAAGCTGAGCAAGGAAGGTCTTAATCCAAAAATGCAGGTTAAAGTTTGGAGTTTGAATGGCCTCTCTGGGAATTGACATTAGGATTGGAATCACAGAGAGAAATTAAAACAGAATTCACTTAAGCTTGGACTCTGGAATTGTCCCCTGACAGTGAAATAGGCGCTAGAAAATTCCACCTGCAAGCTGGAAGTGGCAATAGTCACTTTCTTTTTCCTTTGGGGCTCTAGGTAAAGAAAAATTAGTGTGCGGTGAGGAATCAAACACCCAAACCTGTGTCTTTCATGGGAACAGGGTCAGTTTTATTCTCCCTTTATTCTAAAAATTTTCAACAAGCCAGAAGAGAGTATAGCCTCACCTGATATTGAGCTCACCATAAAAGCGTGTACTGCACAAAAGGAAAATAACTACAAAATGAAATCAGAAGCCACAAAAGTCGGAATGTTTGTACACTAAGAACTAGAAAGAATCAGATAATCTGAAAGAATGTATAAACATAAGAATATATGAGCATATTTTTATGATTTTTATCATGATTTTTATCTGATAAAAATCATAAAAATATGTGGAAAATACATAATCATAAAAATATGATTCAAACATAAAACAATAAAAAAGAATAGGAAAAAAACAATACAAAATAGGCCACTATATTAACATAAAAGAATAAGCAGCTTTAGAAAAGAAGTCAATATTTACTTCTAGAAATAAAACAGTTTCATATAGTTGAAATTTAAAATTCAGTGAATGGGCTGAGCAAAGGTTTAGAAACTGCTTAATAAAGAATTAGAAATCCAGACCTGAGGAAATGACCTATAAATTGACATAGAGAGGTAAAGAAATAAAAATATGAGATCCTAAGTGGCATGGCTAATGGAAGGATAAAATTCAACCTAAGTTTAGCAGCAATCACCACAGAAGAGATTATTAGCTGAAATAGGGGAGAAAGAATATCCAAGACATTATGGAGAGAAGAATTGTCAAGAGTTAAAGAAAATTATACATTTTCTGTTTGAAGAATATAAAAAAGAAATTCACCACCAAAGCTCCTAGTAGAAAGCCTGCCCACTGGTCAAGATTGAGCGAAAAAGGGTAAAATTTATTAGATATCCTATATTTTTATCATACATATCATATGTACCAGAGACAAATATGTATCCTATGTGCTAGAGACAAATATCAGATTATTGCTTGTGTTTACCATTCACACCCCAACTTCATTGAAAAAAACTGCTCAATGATGCATATACTTTAGAAAGAAGAATATTCAACCCAGAAGAGAGTTCTACTAGCTTGCAGAATGCAAGAATCAACCTATAAAACACAATAGCACTTCTATATATCAGTGATAACTAAATATAAAATGTAATGAAAATATTTAGAAAAGCAGCAAAACCTATATGATACCTAGAAATACATATTTAAAA